AGAGAGGGATAGAGATAGAGAGAGAGGGAGAGATAGAGAGAGAGAGAGAGTGAGAGTGAGAGAGAAAGTGGGAGAGAGGGAGAGAGAGAGATGCTATCTTTTACCTTTTTAAACTTTATATATTCTCATGAGCAATTACACTTGACAGTTAGCTTTTGCCTTCCTACTATCCAGACATGTTTCCACGGGTTTATCTTTCGCAGGGAGTTAACATAATGGATAAAGATATCTTCTTCTATTTTTAAGGATGCCAACTTATTCAACTTAATCTCAATTGGCATATATTTTCTTCTGTTGGTTCAACACCTGATAGGTTTGGTCATGTTCCCTAATACACTTGTCTATTCTTATCTCGAAGGTTCAAGGGTATTATTTCACTTTGTTTGAGAAGCTATTTTAGGAACATGGTTTGATTATAATCCTCAATGGATGATAACATACCTCTTCTTGGGTTCTTAATTTATTCCCTACTTGAATGGGAAGGCAATTCTTATAATCTTGTTGTCTATTTTTGTACTTTGAACCAGTCCTTAGTAGAATGATAATATAATTTCGACAACTTTATTTCCTCATAGAGCTTGTTCTCAAATCAACATAACAGTTTAGCTCTTCCAAAACATATGCATGATTCTTATGATCTCAAAATCTTAAGATTCACTCTTCTAAGTCATAACAATATCAAATCTCAATAGTATTAATAAGATATTTGCTCGTAATCTTTTATCTCCCAATGTATCATGTTTTAATCCATCTCTGCAAAAATGAAAAGATTATTTTGTCAGCCATAAAAAGTCAGTACCAACAAAACCCCATAAGAAGTATGCAGTCCATGCAAGTAATACTGGGAATGATCAACCCATGCATGCTTTCAGGGGTATACAAGATTGTCATAATCTTTTTTATATCATATGGAGTTGAAGTAGTAAGAAAGCTACACATATGGACTATTGCTAAGTTGTTACAGAATTTTAATGATCATAGCTTTTTATTACCATCTCCAAAACAAAAGCACAGCAACAATATGGTTGAGCTTTTAAACATATTTGTAGATAATAAGACAAACCTTCTGAATCTACTGTCTTCACAGACAAGGAGGCTAGTTTAAGAGAATTCATCTCAGTTTTCACTAGTGAAGAAACATATTGAACATATTCTGCTCATTCTTCCATGTTCATTGCACCTTGTAATGAATGAGTGCTCTTAAGTTTCCACCTGGGTATTATTCGAACTTTCCTCACTGAAATAATCCAATAGTAATTGAAAGCGTGAGTGAACTTTATGACATTTTAATCCCTTCTCCTTATTAACTTCTGAACCAAATCTAAATATATGTATACTAGATCTAAGTACATGCAAACATATATATCCAAACCAATTTTCAAGCAGGAAACTTAGTTTTAAAGAGATAATTACAACAGGTGTCCATAAATGTGTAAATGATTGATATGTGAGATAACCACTATCGCACAAAAATGTCTTACCTTTCACTCTTATTTTTCCAACCACTTTCTTTCCTGTCACTGCGCACATTTGTTCTGAATGCTTACTGGCCCTCAATTCTGTCATTTGCACGCCTCGAGGTTGGAACAAAAATTTTTGTAATCTATATAAGAATATGAGAGACCACCATTTAGACTTAACCTAGCCATACAAGTTCAATGAATTTCATAAGCAGATAAGTATCAGACAACCTACCCAAAGGCACTTCGCAGAAGAAGGCATTCATCACGCAGAAACTCAGTTGCCTCAGTGCAGCCTCTCGCCCATGCAAACAGACAAAGCCGAATGCATGCATCACAAGTTATAAGAGTTTGCCAGGCATACGGACCAGTGCAATAGCAAAATTGGAAGGCAATATTAATGAAAAATATACATGAAACTCTGGAATGCTGATGTTGACAGAAGAAGCATATCAAGAAATTTTCTTCATAAAAATACATTCAGGGTATACCAGTTTAAGCCGGTTAAATTAGCACTGAGAAGCAAAAATACATTCAGGATCTACCAGTTTAAGCCGGTTAAATTAGCACTGAGAAGCAATGAGCACTGGTAGACATCAAATTTTCACTTGTGGCAACCTTATCATGCTCTAGTAAAATAAAATCAGACTATAAAAGTGGGTCGACTAGTGCAAATTGAATTTCAGATGCATAATACACCTTGTATTATAGCAAGGTGAATGATCCAGGCTGCTTTGCCAATAAGGGATTTGCACTCCTCCAATTGTGGTATTTTTTGTACTGCAAAAGGCCAATTCAATAAACTTAAACGCCTGGAATTAATGGCAAGTCATAAACAAAAAGTGCTAACTGTGCACTGTACTGAGCACGGAAGAAAAAAGAGCCAATTGTCGCCTCTCGCTACCAGTGTCTTTTAAAGCTTGCATCTTGCTATCATCTGCTGAACATTCTTTCCTACCATCAAATTCTGATTCCCTCTCCTTGGAAATTCTTACTTCATGTTGCTCTTCTTCTGCAAAGCTCTTCACTTCTCTTTCAGTCTCAATTATAGGTGGTGCACTTGGTGTACCCATATGTTCTAACTCAGCATGAATGCTTTTAGAGTCAACAGGAGTAACCTGTCCGACTCATTAATTTCCAGCACAATGAATCATCTTAAAAATAAAGCTTTTAAAGGATTGATATAGTTCTATAGGGAACATCAATTTCAATTCAACACCAAGATCTTCTACCTTTAAGTAAGCCAAGAATTCAAGATCTCTATAAAATTCCACCAATGCCAACTTGTCATAAAAACCAACACTTTAAGCACAATCCTTTTCAAGGATTGATTGGATAACAAGGTTAAGATAAAGGAAATGCCCATCTTTACAATTCATGCCATAAGATCAGGGTGTTCAAGTTCTTATTTGTCAGAGAAGGAATGTATTACAAACTAAATAATAAATTGAACATGCAACACTTTTAGATCCCTAATCTAAATATTTTCTATTATAATCATATTATAATAAATTTCCTGATCTTATGAGATCAGGAAATGACTTCTACTTTTAAGTAAGCCAAGAATTCAAGATCCCAATAAAATTACCACCAATGTCAACTTGTCATACAAACCAACACTTTTAGCACAAATCTTTCTTCAAGGATTGATTAGATAACAAGGTTAAGATAAGGGAAATGCCCATCTTTACTATTCATGCTATAAGGTCATGGTGTTAAAGATCTTCTTTGTCAGGAAAAGAATGTGTTACAGACTAAATAATAAATTGGACACCAAATAATAATATAATATATATATATACATGTATATAATAATTTTACACTATTGATCACCAACAGCAGTAGTTCATGAGTCAAATTTTAACGTCTATAAAAAACATGTATCTTTTGCCTTATAAAGTGTACAAAGATACCAAAATTCTTACTTGGGCATCGGATAATTGAACTCCTCCAAGTCGAGCACTAACACCTGGGAACGAATTCTTGATGAGAAATTTCATCATCCCCAACTCGCCATTTGTTACTGCCAGGGATCTCAATCCTCAAATTCTTTTCCTTCAAGAACCCTTTATTTAACTTTGAGCTATACTTGTTACCAAGAACCTCCTCTTCATCATATTCCTGTACAAGTCCTAAAACCTCCTCCTCTTCTTCATCCACAGAGAAACTCCACCGGCACCATCAGAAACCGAATCGACACTCTCTTGTTTTCATCATCGAGGCAAGAAGTCGCAAGGCTATGAGGAGCTAATAAGGCAGAGTGGAATCTCAATGGTGGCAACCCATGAGGAGACATGAAAGCAATGGGAGTATTATAGGAAAAAGGAGATTTCAGAGATGTATCAAGAGGTAGATTCTCGTTAAAGGGAGATCTGATGCAAGGTTCTTGATCCGTATCCGTCCCCTTCTTGATGCAGTTGATTGCATTTTCATCTAAACCTCCGTGAACATCTTTAAACTCTCTACACAAACTTTACAAATTACTCAAGCACAACAAAGAAATCAAGAACATGAATTAGCTAAAGAGACAAAGATTAGGAAGAGAGAGTGAAAGAGAAGGATGAGAAGATAAAGGGAGAGAGAGAGAGAGAGAGAGAGCAAAAAAGAGGGAGAGATAGAGAGAGAGAAAGAGAGAGAGAGAGATAGAGAGAGAAAGAGAGAGAGAATGGGAGAGAGAGGGAGAGAGGTAGAGAGAGGGAGAGAGAAAGGGAGAGTGGTAGAAAGAGAGAGAAAGAGTGAAGGAGAGAGAGATAGGGAGAGAGAGAGAGGAAGAGAGAGGGGAGAGGAGAGAGAGGAGGGAGAGGGAGAGAGGGAGACAAAAAGAGAGGGGGAGGGAGAGAAAGAGTGGGGGGAGAGAGAGAGGGCAAGAGAGAGGGAGAGAGTGAGGGCAAGAGAGAGAGAAAAAGAGAGAAAGAGAGAGAAAAAGAGAGAGAGAGAGAAGAAGAGAGAGATAGAGAGAAAGAGGGAGAGAGAGGGAGAGAGAAAGAGAGACAGTGAGAAAGTGAGAGAGAGAAAAAGAGAAAAAGAAAATGGGTGAGAGA